ACATCTAAACTGGTTAGCGTGCCTGTCGCGCCGCCAAGCGCGCCCCAAAATCCGTTAGCGTACAGACACACAATTTATATCCCCCATCAAAGTAGCACCGGGTTGACTCAGCTTGCTACGTACCCGCCGACAGCTACCGTACTTTTATGTGACCTAAATAAGGGTATGCGCCATGCGCATTGTGAAACTTAGCGGACGCGCTAGACACCGGATTGCGTACAGACACAAATTAGAGCGGAGATAACTTGGTCCGGGATAACTTGACCCTCTCTTCTTCATATGCCGGGTCTAATTGGTTGCGGGGCCAGCGCGTTATTTGCGAGCGGGATAGCGTGTACACACTGCAAAATTTGCACGCGCGCCTTGGCCGCAATACTTGATGTGCGTATCAAATTTGCAGTCAGTCTGTACTAGGGTACAAGCCTAACACAAATTTAAGATATCACAACAAACATCCCATTTATGAGTCAACTGTGGCACGTTGACAGCCATTGATCGATTTATGTTGTATACTCAAACTCTATTAGGCGCACATGGAATTACACTTGCTATAAATATACTTCCATTCCTTTTCTCACATAGTATTGTGCGACATACCCTGACATTTGAGCTGAGATTAAATTAATAACTCCGCTATTATAAAAGCGATTACGAAAATTACGTGTCACAGATCCGAAATATAGGTCGCAGAACATATCAACCACAGTGACATAGCCACGCAGAGATCATGAACGAGCGTGAGCGGATTCGCAGAAGTCCTCTGTCCTTAGCATCTCGGCACTGCTTTTACACCTACTCAGGCGTTTCACGAGCAGACACAATACGTCTTGGTTGCGCATCTTAACCGCCTCTCAAAATAACCCGCTCTTTACAGCTTTTACAGATGCCGCTTCTTGCTGTATAGATGTTATGCGAAATATTTTGCCTTTAGCCTTTCGGTTGCTGGAATTTGCTACCAGTTTATCGAAACCAGGGCGACGAGTTGCTCAGAGTAAGGATTATGTGTTAGATATTCAATGACGGGCCGAACTCACTCCCTTTCTATTGGCCAGGTCGATCATTGAATTTCTAAATTTGCCTCACGCCGGACTTTGATACTTGCCCAGCAAAGATGTCAGTAACGATGCCAAACGTAACAATGGGATAGCGAACAGCCGAAACAGGTGTTCGACTTTGAATGATATTGTCAACTATCGGGATCTTAGGAAGGATGGCAACTTATATTATTTTATCTGGTATGCCTCGACAAAGTTCTCACTGGCGCTCACCGCCATTCCCATCCCATCCCATCCATATACTCATCCCATCCCATACATCCACATCCCATCATCATCCCATCTCATTCCCAATCAATGCCATCCCATGACATGTACATGCCATGCCATTGCCATGCCATCCCATCCCATCCATCACACCGCATCCCATCGCACCGCCATCCATCCCATCCCATCCCATCCCATCCCATCCCATCCATCCCATCATCCCATCCCATCCATTCCCATCCCATCCCATTCCCACCCCCATCTCATCCCATCTCATGCCATGCCATTCCATGCCATCCATCCCCAAACAGTAAAAATAATAAGAAATCAAAAGATAAAAGACATTAAATATAAGGCAATAAAATTTAAAAGTAAGACATTAAAAATAATACATAGCTGAAGGTAGTAAGGGGAAAAAAAGAAAAAAAGGCGGGAAATAAGTTCCCAGCTGGGATCGAACCCGGAATCTCGGTGTAGAAGAAGGATGTTCTAGCGATTAGGCCACTGCGCCATTAAGGTTAACCAATGGAATTCAACACGTACGTGCATTTAATCTGTACGCACCCGCCATCTATTGATGAATAAGAATTTTATGATTTTTTTATGCTTTTTTTAACTATTTTAAATTTTGCTTTAAATTAAACTTCCAGACGTGCTGATTCTGAAAATATCTTTAGTTTTCCTCTAGCTGCGAGTTTAACTAGTTTATGCGAGTTACGAAACTAATTCGGCTGAACCAACTTTATATATATGGCACACATATATATAGCCGTTTCGTATAGATAATGTCACTTGCTATATATGGGACTAGAAGAGTAACCTTGAGAGCAATTAAAAGCTTTTAAACCCCACAATCCTACGTTATTTTTACCTCGTTATTTCACAATGATACTGCCTATAGAAAGCACAAATATAAACTAAACGAGCATTTAAAGTTCGATTACAAGTACTATTCTTTGTATTAAGTAATAGGAAAGGAAGAAAATGGACGTTTTGTCGTCACATCTATTGTGTTTGCTGTAAGGCAGCCACGTAGCGTGCATTCTCTCCTAACTTCACATGGTTATCTGGTTCTTCGCCACACGTTAGAACTTAAACTGATTCGAAGGTTACATCGTTCTTTTAGACATGTTTGCATTTGTTGCGCACCTCATCCGGACAACCGTGAATCTACCGAAGCCAAACCAACCGTTAAATGCCAACCAAATACAAACCAACTGTATATTTTTTATACAACCAAACGCATGAATGCAGGTTTTATTCTGACTAGAAACATCGTTGATTGTCACCGCCCCCATGCCTCTGCCCCTAGAGAACCAACTTCACGACATATTTACGAACTCCGCTATATGAAGAAGAAGTCGCGTTTAAACATGATGTATCAATGGTAGGTTATACATTAGATCACGTGTTTTAGCCAAGTGACGGTTAAACAGCTTACAAGTGTGTTTGTTGTATGGTTATCATAAAGTGCTTGACGTTAGACAACATACACAAACATGTAAAACCTATTTAATGGGATTCTTACCTTACCATAAAGATCTTTAGACGTTAAACATTCAATGTGGTGGGCCACGCTCCTGAAATTCTTCCTCTGTTTCATTCTTTGTGCATTTTTGGTGTATTGCTCAGTTGATCCGTCCATTGAATTTTACTAATACAAGATCATCCATGTTTCTGTGTTTCAATTACAATTACTTGGTGAATAAACTCTGTCAATTTGCCCTATTTTTGCTCAAATATGTTTGCTCCGTTTGGTTTAGATTACTATGAAACTAATCCGTTAATGTTTTTATCTGGCAACACTTTGTATTTGTTATGGTTGGTAGTGCGGCTTGAACGGGAAAACTCAATCTTCTTTTGTATGCTGACAGGTTTGTGGTGTTCTCTGGTTTATTTACGGCCCGTTGCCATGCAATTCTGCCAACCTTCGGCACGGACCCGATTTACATAGCCTTCGCGGCAGCTGCGTTAGTACGGTATCCATGCTACGCTGTTCTCGGCAGTACTTCACAAATACCTGGGGAGGAAGTTGTCTTTATCGGAACCATTTGCTTGGCCAGGGGATCACCTGCCCTTTGTAACTGCATTACCGTGGCCAACTTATAAGTGTGAATTGATAATTAGACCTACAACATAGCCATTTTAGTTTTCATACACTAGTTATGTGTACCTTGCCGGCGGTCTCTATCGTGCGTGCTTATTCTCGTTCTCGCGCGTCTCTTTTTATATCGTTCTGTTGCACGATAACTGCAGTGCGCGGATTTGCACTAGACATGATTTAGTGAAATTAAATAGGAATCAATATTAATCTATCACATTCGATTATTGAATGCGATGCTAACGCCCTCGGTGCTGCAGACTATGCCGTCGATATATAATAATATGGCCCCCGTTTATGCCGCCAAAAGTTAGCCGTGAACTTTCGCAGAAGTGTTATAGGCCGGGTGGCTATTTAACTCCGCGTTGCGTTCACGGCTACAGGCAAGTACCTGCATCATTCTATGCGTGACGGCCATGTTTAGCCCGGTAGCGATTCTAGTAAACACCACTGCGCGAAAATCATTTCTCATGGCGGCCATACTTACGAAAAAATCGCTC